GAGAATCAAAGAGAAAGGAAGAAATATGTAGAGAAAAAGGAACAATCAAGAAGAGAGACATGATGAGGCCTCATATTAGTCTGACTGTTAGATTGTCACAGGCCTCTTGTTAATCTGATTAAGATACTTCGCAATAGAATTGAAATTTCAATAACAAAATGATCAGTATTCTTAGAATAAAGATTATGCAGCAGAGAAATGAACAGAAAAACATTTTAGAATCTATTCATGTCAATGTGTTTGATATGTGTATTTGAAACGTTCTAATCACACAGTGATGAAATAAAGGCCTTTGTGTTCCTTTCACAAAATAAGGCACTACCAAGCTTTTTGCCTCAGACTCCCACCTTTAGATCTGTAATTCCAAAGTATGTTTGTAGTCATCCTTTTCCTTCTTACTGCTACCTTATTACCAGGCTTTCAGAGACAATTACAATGTCTTCAAAATTGTTTTTTTCTGTCTACATTCTCTCCCATCCTACAATATATTCCAAATTAATACATAAAGTACTGCCACATCAGATTAAGTCCTTTCTCAAGACTTTTCAACAATGGCTCTCATCGTATTTAATTGAAGATCCTGGCCAAGAAATTGCAGTCTGTGCAATTTAATTTACCTATTCCTACAGGAACTTTACTCTTCAGCCTATTTTACTCTTCCTCAAATCATACATTGTACCATTTCATCTTGTTTGCTCTAACTGTTCATTCACTTACTTCTGTGTAGCATTAGAATGCCAGGTATTATTTGTCAGTTCTCTACTAAAGATCCACCTTACCCATGATCTAACTGTAACAACAAGAAGTAATTTTCCCCTTCCTCTTACACTCTATTATTTAATTCATTCTGGTTGCCTTTAATATATACATAGTCTTTCTACATGTAGTTCTTTGTAAGTGAATAGACCCATTGTATCTCTTCTACCAATTAGTCAAGCCATCATGAATTAGAATCTCCTAACTATCTGGTAATCTAGCTGTTTAATCATTTACATTGCCTGAAGCTATAGTGATATAGTATCTTAAATGAGATTAGGAAAATTTCCTCAGCTGATATATCATGTTGGACATTTGGACCAAAAATCTCTTGGATCAATGAGCCTACTTTTAAGCTAATTTTCCATCTGTCTTACCTGATCATTATTTCTTACCTTAAATATGAGTGTTATAGGTATTGTGGTAGAATATCATTTAGTGTTAAGTATATTTATACATTAAGAGAATTTATAGGTTTTTCTCAAGGAATGAATTTAATCTTTAAATGATCTACAGTTAGCTGGAAGCATATGATCTCACCAGTTCACTTCTGTCTCAATGTTTTAGGTGTCAGATATTGAAGTGCAGCATCTTTTTTTTCCTGAGATTGGTCAACTCCTAGAAGGATGAACAAATATTTTCTTAAATATCTAATCTACAAATAGGGGAAAAGTTAGCAAATTAATTTCATCCTTGATAAGCCTGATAGAAGTTTATTCTAATTCATTAAAATGTCATCTAGATTATTTGTATTCCGTCCCTCTATTCTTCTATCCAACCCCTCCTTGTATACACCAATAATCCCTTTGGAATAGTAGCACTAACTAATCATCCATAATTTTATAATGTCAAAATGTTGCCTCATTATTACTCTTCCTCCCCATTTTTATATTATCCCTCTAACCTTTCTTTCACCTTCACTTTCTCTCTATTGTCATAATATATTCCCATGGGTGATAATAATCTCTTCTAACATATTTGTTCCTGAAAGCTTCCATTTAACCCACAAACTTCTATTGAGCACATTAGCACATTTCACTTCTTTCCAATATTAATCTTACTACCAGTATAGTTCATTATATTTAACAAAACACATCTCCTTGCCAAATCTTAAACCAAAATTTTTCAATATCCATAAACTTCCCACAAAACTATAATGACCTTACTTCTTCCCTGACTTCCACATGCCAATGTCTAATTCCAAACACATTTTTTTTTTCCTTTTATTCCCAGTCTTTCTGAAACCATTCCCATTCACCATACCCCACAACCAGGATTCCTTGCCATTTCCCATATATGGGCACACCTTGTGCTTCCTTGCCTCCTTCGTTTTATTAAGTTGATTTTTCCTCCCTGAATACCCTTTTCCCCACTGAACCCCATTGAAAAATTTCCATCTTTTAAAGCATGGATTCTGAATTTGGGCAGTTTATGAACTCTTGAGAAAATGAAAGTAAATTTTATAGGTGTTCTTAAATACATTTTTTCCAAGTAGGGGGTTCCTGCACATTACCCTATGTGTGATAGGTACACATTCACTGTGTAATAAATAAAACTCATCCTTTAAAAACAGTGTAATGTTAATCTGTCATGGGATTAGTTTAAGGAATAAAAAAATGTAATTGGGGCTATCATCCCTTCATAAGATTAGAATTCCCTTCAATGTTATGGGTTTGTTTTTTAATGAATATGATAAATACATGTTCAGTTTTTTTTCTGTGCTTCTCAAAAGTTTTAATCAGTGAGGGGTAACTAAATTTTCTGGTCATCCTTTTGGTCTAATCAATAAGCATCAAAGAAATTACAGGTATTTGGAAGTCTGTGTGTTTCCAAGTAGGTTCCAACATGGAAGCTTAAAGGCTAGTTGTCTTCCTTACAGAAAAATTCAGTGCTTATTTCTTGATTGTTTTATCATTCCATGTTTCCTCCTTTCTCTTCCCAGGGGTCCACAAATTCAGCAGAGGCCTAAATTAATTAGGTAGATTACTAAAGCTAAAAGAAATAGTTTTTTATTAATATTACAAAAATGACACAAAAAAGAACCCAAATTTTGCAGGTCCAAGGCATTTTAGAGAAAGTAAGTACGTCTGTCTCTGGGAAATCCAGTTTGACCCACATACTTTCTTGCTCCTTTCCAAAGCTCTTCAAAAACAGCAGAAATTAGAAGTCTGTTTCCTAACAACCTGGACTTCTAGGACCACCCAGATTTCTATTAAAGAGTAACAACTTTAGTAATAGAATCAGATCTCTAACGTTTTTTCCAGAAAAAGAAGTACTGGTTTTTCTAACATAAAATTTCTTCTTAACAAATCCAGAGTATGGGCTTCATCAGTATTGCTCAGCAGTTAATGTTTCTTGTAATTTTTACTGTTGGTTTAAATCTATAAGTTTTAGACCATTTTATTTTTATTTAGTAGACTGAATTCTTACTTTAAATTCTACATGTGCAAACTTTAAAGAAAATGAAGGCATTTTTGCAAATTAGAGTTTTGAGCAAATTCTTCTTTAGAAGTGATTTATAGTTACATGAATATGTTTAGTTGTTTTCTAATCTATGTTTTCTCTTTGAAAGCAACAGCACTTATTGATCCGCTTCCAAAAGACATAATACAAAGTCCTTTATGTAGTTCCATAGTCTAACATTTTGGAAAAATGTTTGTTTACTCATAGTGTGTACATTACTCTTTCCTTAATGTATCTTTTTTCACTTGTATGGTATCACTGTCTTCAGTTTATTTTGAAGTGTAATGATAAAATGCATTAACATCCCTCATTCAAAGAATGTTTTAGAAGCGAATTTACTTAATTTTGTGATCCAAGAAAAGTTAACAGTAGAATAAATTATATCATATCTTATGATTTAATTTATTATCTTTTCTAAGAATATTTTTCTATAATTTCTTAACCTAATACTTTCTTCTCAGTATTATATTTTATTGAGTCCAGGGAAGAACCAGCAACTTGGGAAAATAATCTGAAATAAAATTAAAGCTATTAATTCCCAAGTTGTTTAGAAGATAATTAGATTAAATGTTGATATAATTGATGATGAACCTTCTGTTCATCAAGTGTTCTACTATAAAGAAATTGGAAAATTGTTAGAAAATTAACAGACTTATTATGGTCTATCCTTTTTTTTTTTTTTTTTAAAGAGGCAATATATCAATTGCCAAAGGCATCATCAATTTGTATAGCCAAAGTAAAGTATGAGAAAGTTGACTTGTGTTTTAAAGCCTTAAATATTTCTATAATTGCTGATATTGAACACTGAATTTTTAATATGATCAGATTGTTAAAAATAATAAAATTAATTTTCTCTCTTAAATTGCATAATATGACTCTAAAAATCTTTACTTGATATTGTTAATATAATCCAGTATTAAATATAGGGTGCTCAGTACCTGCTTTATAGCAGAACATAAAATAATACCAGGAGCTGAAAGATATATACCTTTAAATATGGGGTTATCAAGAGTATATCACATTTATTTTTAGCACTTGGTTCGTAACTAAGGTTCTTGTGATTTCTCATGGTATACTGAGATTACACAGAATAAAGCTATTTCTGTGGGTGTCACTTTCTTTTTTGGCTCTGAATTATTTTCTCTTCTGCGTTCCATTTCTGCTGTCACTTCTAGTATCTTTGCCTCACCACTGCATCCAAAATATAATATAGGAACCATGGTTAAATCTTAAAGTTGGTGACTTCCCACTTCTAATGACCTCCCACTTCTAAATTTTAAGAGAGGGATGTATAAATTAAGTTGCTTCTGAACATTAATGAAAGAATTTTTGTACATTTGCATTAAAATAAAATGCATATTAAACTCAGAATCCGTAGTATTATTTTTCTTTAATGACCAAATAGAGCAAGTATTAAATAATCTTTAGGTGGGAGACTATTTAGAAAGAAAAGGATTAGTATCTCTGTGAAAGTCAAGAATGTTTTTTCATAACTAGAAAAATCCACCGGAGTTCCTACTCCTCAAGTCTCCATTCTGGTTATAATTACAGAATGTTCAAAAAGGTTTACCTTTGGGATTGGGCTTATTATTAGTGTGCATATTTTTATTTTATTCACTGGGGGTGGTGGGGAGTAGAGGTGAGAACACATTTAGTGATAGCTATTCATTAGCCACCATTGAGGAAGAAATTGAACTTTAAAGAGTCTATCAAAAATTCTCTGGTCAGCCTTTTATTACTATCTTGTCTTGAGCCCTTTTTTTAATGACATCTATTATCAGATTGAAATGGCGATTGAGACGCTGCAAAAGTCTGACGGTCTGTCCACTCACAGAAGCTCTCTTCTCAACAGCCATGTAAGTTGCCTCTTCTTCATGTACACTAATCTCTTGCTTGTTCTGCATGTGTTGCTTGCCTCTAAATGCTTGTTTTATTTATTTACTTATTTATTTTGCTTCTTAATCTTCCTTTCTAAGCCTTTTTATGATCTCTGTATCATTTAATAACTATTTTGTACAGTGGAATATCTAAAACAGAACCACAAATGTAATGCTTTATTAGGTTTTTATACTGTTTTGATACAGATATAACATTTTCCAGTTAAAAAATAACAAGTTGTCATTTATTTGCAAAAAGTAATTAATGGGGATTTTAAATATTTAAAATACTCTATTCTGATATTTATTTCTTGTGGAGTAAATAATTAAATCTGTATCACTATATGAGACAGAGAAACAGGTTTGTCTACTTGTGTGACCAATAATACATTTTAAGTGGAAAAGAATTATTAATCTCAAACACAATGATAAACTGTTTGAAAGTTATTTATTTACCAGTAAAACTAAGTAAAGTAGGTAGTAAGCAGCCTCATAGATGAGCTGAAATCGTAAAATGTAAAAGAGAAATAAGTAAAAGTGGGCCAAATGAAAGAGCAAAGCCATAGATAAACCATAAAGTGCTAATCATTGAGATAAAGCAGAGTTACCACTACTATTTCTTGAAGCTTTTCACTTTGATCAGATCCATCACTATAACACTGGTAAGTGTAACAAGAATGATGACAATTTTGTGAAATTATAAACATTTTCATCAACTCTTCAAATTTGGGGAACCATTGAAAATGCTGATTAAAATTTTTCTTGTTAAAATGACTTTGGAGTATATGGAAAAAAAAGTAAATAGACGTGTAACTTTTAAATCTACTTTAGATAGACTTTCTGCTAAGCTAATGTTAGTAGAATATTAGTAGGAATTAGAGTTTTTCTTCCCAACTGACAGTGTATTCTTAAATTTAGGGATAACATTAGGATTTCTTAATTCTTTTAGAAAGAATTAATTAGGATTTCTTATTTCTTTTCTATAGTTTGTAACTGAAAAGTCCAAAATCAGATCACCCAAATGAAATATTTATTATTTCTTTCAATAAACCTACAACTTTACCTCAGAAAATGTTTTCACTATTCTTTCAAAGCATTTAAATTTTTAAGAATTTAAATTTTATATTCCAAAATTACATTAAATACCTCAACATACATCCTTATGTTCTTATACATTTGTTTTGAGGTGGAACATCGTGTCTTGTTTCTTTATCAAGGGAACGTATCATGGCAAAGAGAAACAAGTCAGCCAACTTGCAGAATGCCTATAATTTTCTTTCTGAAACAGTTTTTAAAATATATTTCCCCTTTCTGAAAATTGGTATTCAATTTCACTCTTTTATATATTTCTTTTTTTTTTTTTTTTTTTTTTTTTTTTTTTGAGACAGAGCCTCAAGCTGTCCCCCTAGGTAGAGTGCCGTGGCATTACAGCTCACAGCAACCTCCAACTCCTGGGCTCAAGCGAGTCTCCTGCCTCTGCCTCCCAAGTAGCTGGGACCACAGGCGCCCGCCACAACGCCCGGCTGTTTTTTGATTGCAGCCGTCATTGTTGTTTGGCGGGTCCGGGCTGGGGATTCGAACCCGCCACCTTAGGTGTACGTGGCTGGCGCCTTAGCCGGTTGAGCCATAGGCGCCGAGCCTCTTTTATATATTTCATAAGCATATTCCTGCTATATTGACAATGAGTCTGTGATTGTGTTGAAAACTGATTTACTATTACTGCTTGGCTCTGTGTGTTGGGGTGATGTTGATTAGCTGGTGTTTATGTTTTGGAAATGGCAAGTGAAAATGTTCCTTTCTCACTTTCAATCAGAAATGTACAGAGACATGAGGAGAGAAAATAAACTGGAGTTTGCAGTCACTCATTTTCAACTTTCAGGCTTCTATGTTGTACTTCGATATTCAAATCACAGTTCATTTTTATTTGAAATTTATATATTAACAAAATATGCTTAATTTTAACTTTAATTATCTGAATTAATATATTCATGAATAACAATGTAGGTAGAGTAATGTAGATTATGTTTTTCATATTTTTTAAATTTATTTGATTTGTTTGAAACTTATTAGCAACTATGTAGGGTTTTCAAAAAATTACTTTTCACTGGTAGAATTTATGAAGTAACATTTAATGTTAGTGAATCTGTGAATTAAGCTACATAAACAGCAAACAAATATTTATTATTCCATGACTTCATATTTTTTATTACATAACATAGCAGATCTTCCATATTGGTAACAACTGCCAGAGGTACTTCAGTATGTAGAAAGAGGGAGTGCAAGTATTGCTAATGATGTGATAATCTTTCTCTGTGCTGGTGTATTTTTATTACACCTCTAGCTATAGTGAAGTTCATTCAGAAACATATTTATACTCAAATCTTAAGACATACAAAGGATTCTACAGATTGTTTACAAATAGTAGAGAAAAGATTAGTGTTTCTGCTGACTAGTCAGTGAGGTTAGGCTCTCGCTGAACACAGGAAGATTTTTATCCTCCTTGGAAAGTTAATGATGCTTCCTGACATGGCTGCACACACCTGTAATCTTACCATTTTGGGAGGCTAAGGTGGGAGGTTTGCCTGAGTTTGAGACCAGCCTGAGAAAGAAAGAAACCCCCATCTCTACTAAAAATAGAAAAACTAGCCTGATGCTCTGGCAGGCACCTGTAGTCCCAGCTACTTGGGACACTGAGGCAAGGGGATCACTTGAGCCCAAGAGTTTGACGTTGCTGTGAGCTGTGATGCCACAGCACTCTACCCAGGGTGACAGCATAAGACGTAGTGTCAAAAAAAAAAAAAAATAAGAGGAAGTTAAAGATGCTTTTAATTTTATTACATTTATCTAAACTAGAATAGGTAAACTGAAAGTAGCTATTGCTTACATTCTTATTGATAACTGTTTGCTAAAAGTATTTTAAATGTAAAACTTTTCAGTGAATGGATTTCTTTTAATTTTCTATCAACATTTTAGATGCGAACTACAAGTTACCTTTATCTCTAACTATATAGGGCATAATATGGAATTATTTGAGGTTTGTGGGATTCTTTGAGGTGCTCAGTTCTTCAACTTTATGGTGCTCAGTTCTCTGATTTATCTTTATTTTCTACAAAGAATCGGTATCATTAGAAAAAAATTGGAAATTAGCAATAATTTGTATGATATATTTACTTGTTTCTACAGAGGGATATTAATCATGACTTTTGAACTGGAAAGTCAATTTTCATTCTATTTTGGGGTGTGGAATACAAAGGATTTCCTATTTTCTTTTTATATATTTGATTATTCACGGTAATTTAAAAGACCCTTACTAGGATCAAATCAAGTAAGTAATTTCCTCTGAGTAGAATCCAGCTTGATTGCTTTGCTTTTCAACAATCTCTATAGTGAACAATCTTTCCACATATTAGATAAAGAAGTGGGGTGTTAAATTTTGAATCCCATTTTTCAGTATATTCTTAATAGAATTAACATGATGGCAGTTATTTCAGTACTAGCTTTTCATGGGCAGTCAGTAAATATCTTTTAACAAATTGAACTTCCCAGAGAGTAAGGATTTTTATATCCTGTCCATCAATGCATCCCTGGTACCTAGCACAGTGCCTGATACATAGTAGATACTCACTAAACACTAGCTAAATGAATAAACATGGGAAATACAAGGGAACAGACCTTACTTACCTTAAGTACTTTAGGATGCATTTGCCAGTTACGTGTGCAAGTATTTGGAAGATTTATATATATACATGTATTGTTTCCTTTGTTTTCAGATTTGCTTCAGTAGGGTATGTGCAAACATTGTTGGTAAAGGGTGGTGTCCTCCTTGCATACCATTTGAGTAAAGAATATATGCTCATTTTATCATTTCCCTACATGCAGCCTTTAGTTTAAGAATAAACAATTTTTTTCCTCCAAACAGTGCAATCCTTTAAAAAGTACTAGCCAAGAGTGACATTATTCATCTCCTTGAATTTTAGAATGATGCTTTTGATTTAGCGTTACAAAATTCTATGAGTATAATAACTTTTATTTAAATATCCTTGTATCTAATATTTTGCATGTGAAGATGCTATGGATAAATGATGTATAGTCTGCCTAAATCTAACTAGAACATCTAATTTTCTTCATTGCAGACATTATTTTATACTATTTTCCACTTTTATTAATATAAATTTGTAACAATTGATGGTTATATTGTGTTCAAATTGATATTTTCTATAGAGTATAAATTTGCATTCAAAAATGTTGTTAAATTAATTTTTCCCAATTTATAAATAACGTTTAAGGTTGTTCATTTTCTTGGAATTTCATTTTAAGTATGTAAAAAGCTTTAGGTATTTATTTTATATACTTTTCACAGTCTAGCAAATGTTTGTTTCATTATTTTTGCTGGTTTTAGCTACTGAAATAAATTCAGCTCAAAGCAAAACCTTGCTTTATACTCACTTTCCTGCAACTTTGCTATGTTGTAAATATAAGTTATTGCAGAAATAATGGCCTGTTGACATACATATTATCAGTGAGCTGAACTTAAAATGAATCCTAATGGATAATAATCCATCTGGGGAAGAATGCCAAATGTTACATTTAGATGTTGATTGGGCAGTGCATTATTTATTTATTTTTATTTGTCAATCAGGATTTCCCTTTGGGAATAGCAGAAACTGTTCATATTCTTTAATCTGTTCTGATTAATATAGATTAAATGCAAAGCTTGAAAGATAAAATTATCACAGTTTCCACCCTTAGATGAGTTTGTTAGTTCATTAGGAGAATAATCAGGTTTTAAAGATAAAGGTTATAAGTTTCCTGTGGCTATGTTAGGACTTTTAAAACATAAATGTAAACCAATATTTTACAAGACATTTTATAAAAGAATAAAAGAAATAATAATATTTTAGTTCTAAATTACTAAATGTTAATAGCGTTGAATTCTAATTAACAAATGCATTTTATTAAAGACAAAACTGAAGCAAACAGTACTTACCATAACAGGCGTTAACTTCCCTTGAGCAGTGCACAGAGTATATGCCTTAAGGTTACACTTAAACTTACACAGAAACTGCCAGATTTCTCTTCCAGTAAAAGTAATGCTTTGTAGTATTACTAGAAATGCTAGATAATGCTTTCTAGTATTTCTAGTATTTCTGTGTTATTAGACTCAAATGTCTGATTTATCATTTCATCATGTGTTAAAACCTAAAAGTTAAATGCTGACATACAGAATGCAGACTACAATTCCTAGCTAAATCTCAAATTCTCGTCTGGTAGATCCTTAAATATGTGTCTGCTTACATAGTGCATTTCTAGGTGGGGCACTGATTTTCAGACTTCTTAGCTGGTACTCCCAGGGCAACAGAGCCACCTCCATCCTTACAGGGCTTTTATCTCCACTTGACTTCCTTCTGTTCCTTCAAAGTGCTCTCCAGGCTTCTGAAGAGGGACAAAGTTCCTCTTCCTGCAAACATGGGGCAGAAAGCAAAATATAGCTTTGCTACTGTCAAATAGTTACCAAAATACCAGGTCTTGTGGAATTTTTCCAACTGACTAGTATGTATAGAAATAAATAAATAGACATATACATATATAAGTTTAGTTTTTAAAAACTAGTTTAGAAATGAATTTTTAAGAAAATAAACTATATAAAGAACAGTTTATAAAACATTACACATTTTGACTTACATAGCTATGTTAAAGAACTGCACAGCCAATCCAACAAAAGCTTCATTTTCCTTAAATTATTAATGGACTATTAATAATATCATTTAGGCTTGTCAGTAGTTATGTCAACTTTTGCTATAATTATTTCACTTTTAATGTGAAAAGTTTTCTTCGATTAAGAGTCATTGGATTAACTTCTTTAATACATATTTAATTCTTAAGTATGTACAGTATAAATTCTTATATGTACAGTATATAAAATGTGAATACACTGTTGGACACAAAATATTTGATACTGAACTTTAAAATTTGTACTAGTTTTCACTTTTATGAAAGGTAACTTACGGTAGTACCTTTGAAATAATCCATTATTGGATTTGCCTTTTCAAATTTTTTTATAAAATGTTTATCTGCAAGATAATTTTCATGACTGTGAGAAATGAATAAGCTCTCAATTTTAGACATTTGTCCATTAAATGCTGCAAGAAGACTAGTGCATAGCACAGTTTGAACATGTTTTTTATTTGTATTTCTGGTTAATTGAATAATTGTTTTTGCTCTGTATTACCAGTATTTTACATTAGATCTATTTTCATTATTTGTATACTTTTGATAATAAAGTTCGTGTTATAAAATTGATTATATTCATTACGTGCTCTTTAAATGAAGATTTTCTATATAGATATATCTGCTGTACATTATTGAATTTTTTCATTCATGTTTGTTAAGAAATCATACTATTATGCCTTTTATAATATGTGCTATTTTATGAGAATAGATAGGTACACATGTAAACCTATCTTTGGCATTTTTAACTCCTTGCTTTTGTGGAAATGGAAACTTCATTAGTTTATTTGGAAAATATTACTATTTTACAAAAAATATTTACATTTGTTACATGTTTGCCTTTCCAGAAATGTTTTTTCTTGGTAATTTCCTTATAGTTCTTGATAGCTAGAGCCTATATTGCTTTCTTTAATGAACTGAGACAGGAATCAACTCTTGTTCTGTCTCGTATGTATACACAAAACAAGAGCTAGCACCTTTGTGCAGTATAGTTCACTGGGGCTGCTGTGACACCCACTGAAATGCTACCAAATACCATTTTCCTGAAGCATGTGTATGGAATATTATGAGTCAAATTTTTACTGTCACATTTTATGTGTAGCTCCCTCAGATGTGCTCATAATCAATAAAGTCTTAACATATATTAAGAAACCAAGACTAAACAGATATGCTGTCTCACCTAGAATTATAGGCCAAATTCTAGTTTCAGTCTCAGTAAATTAATTTCCCAGTTTACCTCTTCTCTTTTATACTAAATAAATATGTGTAGTGAATCTATTTTATGGGTCCTTTAGAATACTTACAAATCATATCTGACTGCCTATGAAGTTACAGATCATTCATATCAAAAGAAATCTTTATACCCTGTAACATAACTGTCATTATAAAACATTAATATTTATTTTGTGTAATCTTTTTAAAGTTTTAAATATGTTTAAAAATACATATTCACAGGCATATATTTTCTATAAAGGCCATTTTGTCTTCCTGACCAGAATATTAATTTTATTTTTAGAAGTGCTCTTCTGCCTTGTAGGTTTGGTGGCTACATTTTCTAAGCCAACAATCAGTATGAGTTTAATTACATAAGCATCAAGTAGTAATAATTAAAATTAAAAGTGTTTTGGAAAATTCAGCTGTTATGATTAGAAATTATAATTCTGAAAATATTTTTTAATGGATTTTTTACTAAAAGTCTAAAAGTTCAGGTTCTAAGCTTAATCACACATCTTAAAGTATTAGAAGCATAATGGAGAAATAGATCATTTGTTTATATGTTGTTATCATCATTTTTAGAATTATTTATAAATTCCTAGAGGACAAGGGTGAGATCACATTCATCTTTGCCTCACTTTGAGCAGCTTTGACTAGCTCATAGTTGGTGTTCAATAAATGAGTTCTTTGGCTTACATTACTATTTATATTTAACTTGAATTGCACATTAAGTATCAACTCTTTATTATACCTCTTACATGTGTATGAAAATTTTGTTGCGATAGGTAATAGGAAATATTTGTTTCGTGAAACTAACAATTGGCTTAAAATAATCAGGGAAAACATGAGTGGGAAATAAAACTCCAGCATTGAGACAATATATAACCTTAAGAAAGTCATTTAAGTCTATTTCTTTTTCCTTTGGTAAATAAATAAATAATTTAATTTTGCAGGTGTTAAAATTTAGCAATATAGACTTGGATTTGATTTTCTAGAAAGTTCTTATACATTTTATACTTTAAACATTATTTCTTTTAATTACAAGACACTATAAAACTTTAAAATATGAACAATAGACTGAGAAAATATTGCTTTGCCAAATACCACTGTAGTATGTGTTTTAAAATTGTGAAAAAACTTTGAGGCAAAAAAATGGTTGTAATAAATTGTTCTTTTTCATTACATATAAATTCTTTGCCAGTGTCTAGTGAGTTTCTTTCCAGTTAAGAAAGAAATTACTGAATTTTATTCTTCTTACAGAATTTGTCCTAATAGACAATATTGTTACTGTATTATCTAGTGGTAATTTGAGATACGTAAATTAGAATTTTATAAAAATAAATAGAATTTGGCCAGGAACGATGGCTTACTCCTATAACTCTAGCACTCTGGGAGACTGAAGTTGTAAGGATCTCTTAAGCTCAGTAGTTCAGGACTACCCTGAACAAGACCAAGACCCCATCTCTACTAAAAATAGAAAAAAAATATCAGAGTGTTGTGATGGGCACTGTAGTCTCAGCTACTCAGGAGGCTGAGGCAGGAGGATCCTTTGAATTCAGGAATTTAAGGTTTCTGTGAGCTAGGTTGATACCCTGGCACTCTAGCTTGGACAACAGCATGAGACTCTGCCTAAAGAAGAAAAACAAATATATTAAAGGCCCTTATATAAAAACTCACACAAGGAAGCCTACTGTCCATGTGTTGTAACACCCCAGCACTAAAGCTATATTATATATCATGCAGCCAGGTGTGGTAACATGTTTTTTTCTGTAGTAATTATATGTTTGGTATTTATGACCAGTTAACAGAATTATTTGAATTCCCTGAAGAGGTGTTTCTCTCCAGAGTTGTGATCAAAACAGGGAAAATTAGTATATCTCTACATGTGCTTAAATATTTGAAGAAATACTATCTGAGGTCATACTGATTGCCTCCATATTTCTGAGAATTTTCAAAGCCAGATTATACCAGCCTCTGAACTACACAGCAGTTTATTCTAAGAATTGATGAAGAACTCCTAAGTATTTCTATATATTGTCTTTGCAGTGTCTTGCAGAAATTTTGGCAAATTATATGATTTCTGTGTGTTTACTGTGTCTTACCTCTCCCAGCTCCAGTGGCTGTTGGACAATTACGAGACAGCAGAAGGAGTGAGCCTCCCCAGAAGCACTCTATACAACCACTACCTTCGACACTGTCAGGAACACAAACTGGACCCAGTCAATGCTGCCTCTTTTGGAAAACTAATAAGGTCAATTTTTATGGGGCTACGAACCAGGAGATTGGGCACTAGGTTAGTACTAAAAAATAAGATCATATACTAATCTCTCTTTTTCAAACTAGAATAGTTTGATATGTTGTTTAAGCAAAAGGATTTGATTATAGGTAAAAAATACAGAATTACTTAGTTTATAAAATCCCCAAGAAAAGGAAAAATGACTATTCAGTGAATACTACCAAGCCAGAATAATGGCTGGTAGTTGACCAGAATATGTTGACCTAAAGATTAACTTAGCAAAGCTTTCAGAGAAGTTGATTGTCAAACTTATATAGAAATTAGCAGGGTAACCTGCTAATTTACAGGCTGCATATACAAGACTTGCATATGATACTTTAAAAATTGGTATATCACTATATTCTCTTTTTGAAAATAACCATACTAAAGATGATGCATAGTAAATGGAAAGCTCTAACTATGGAATAGAGGAGTTGATTGTCAAACTTAACCTGCTAATTTACAGGTTGCATAAACAAGACTTGCGTATGATACTTTAAAAATTAATATATCACTGTATTCTCTTTTTGAAAATAACCATACTAAAGATGGTGCATAGTAAATGGAAAGCTCTAACTGCAGAATACTATAGCTATGTATTTCTTGACTGTTGCAAAATTATTTATGCATTTAATGGTCATTATAAATAACTATAGGATTAAAATAAAAAATTAAAGTTCAGGTGGCGCCTGTGGCTCAAGTAGTAGGGCACTGGTCCCATATACTGGAGGTTGTGGGTTCAAACCCGGCCCTAGCCAAAAACTGCAAAAAAAAAAAATTAATTAAAGCTGAGTCTTTCTTTTCATTTCAGGGAACCAATTATAAATCACTTGATAAACTTGCAAATATAAGTGCTTAAAGTCCTCATTGATGACATGGTCTATTTTATCTTTATTAGCCTTTTTTCCCCCTGCTCTTAATGTGAACCCATACATGTGTGGAAGCAAAAATATAGTTCAAAATATTTACAAAATATTATCTGCATGTTGGCCACCTCTTTGTAAAAATTTATAACGAGCAGTTAGCTACAGTTTACCATTTTCCCTATGTATAGCAACTTTAGGGGCTACTTTTGGGACACCCCATATCTTATGCTTTCTTATGAAGAAGTAGACAGCTCTGGTGAACTATGAGTGGACAAAAAGGGTATAATCTAATGGTAATAAACTGAAGAGAACTCAGCAAGGCTTATTTGGTTAGATCCTTCTATGTCCCTATGTCTTTAGAAAAAAGGACATTGCTTTGTACCAGGTACAGAAAGGACCTCCCTGAAATTGATAACAGAGGAAGAGGGGTCTGGCTACCTGTCACTGTCAGCCAATATGCAGAGAAAAGGATAGGTCCCCCAAACTTTGTCAGAATGTCAGCGATTCTGGAGAACAGTGAGAGTAGCCTCTCCAAGACTGTTCTGTTCTTCCATTTCCAAAATCACAAGCTAAAAGCAAGAACTGTGCTAACCCTTATCTTAAACAACAGTGATTAAGACTTACCTTAAACAACAGTAATCGCCACACCACAACCCATTACCCGCAATAAACAATAATTGATATAACCCATGACTCAAAACAACATTCCCATTTCAAAGTTAATCTCCTAAATCAATTGCCCTAAACTACTCAAGATATACTCTTTAGATTAAAGCTGAGTTTACAGAACAAGATCCAAGAACAGGAGACAAGGCACACTTAGGACCTAACCTAACCCAACCAGCTGTCAGCCCTCACCCGACAGACTCCATCTTACTCTCACTTCTTGTGCTCTCCCAGTGAGGATCTCTTGACCTATTTGCCAGGGAAAGCAAGCTAGGTTTTATGGCTCACTCCAGAGGAGAAAGGGTGAGGGGAGTTTTCTCTAGTTTGTATAGCCCACTGCGGCTGTTTCTACAAATGGCATATTTGGGGATAACGTGTCAGTTTTTGAGATTTATAAGGTCTGAATATATTCAAAGTATGAATTATTTTGTTCCTGTTGCATTTTAAGTGATTGTACATCTTTAGATTCAGCTCTCTCATAAATGTATTTTCTTCCATCTGTACTTGAAAAGGTAGTGTATTTTAAACTGGAGAATATGATTGTCTATTCAGACTAAAGGAATAGCTTTCATTCCCCTTAAAAAAGCTTTTTGTTTCTCTAGTATTTTTTTTCAAAACCACAAAAATCATTATCTGAGGACCTAACCTACTGCTTCTTAGCTGATAGCTCTGTAGTTATGCATACCATGCCAATATTTTGAAACTCTGGGCTTTATTCAACATTCTAATAGCAGTATTGTTGTGCTTCTTTTGTTACTGAAAGGGATTTCAGTGGTTCCTATTTTGAGACTCCATTCAAACCTTGAAACACATCTTTAAAATAGAAAGGGACAAAATTGGGGTTGTTTGGGTTTGTGAATGAGTGGAATCTATACTCCTGTAAGTACATTTGCTGTATTGCAGCTTTTACTTTCTGATGTCTGGGTTCTCACACCTTTCCTATGCAACAAATATGTCTCCTATTCCTTTTAAAATTATGGATAGTGTTTACAATTAAGAATGTAAAGCAAAAAAAAAAAAAAAAAGAATGTAAAGCAAAGCCTAGAAAAATAAGGAGAATATTAATACACAGGAGAGAATTTAAACAAATGATATGGTGAAGCCGTTCAAACCAGAACCAGATCTTTTCTAAAGTTTTTAGATGTTAATAAATATAATAGGCATGTTTTAAACAAATGCAAAGCAAAAGGCATCTTTTGTTAGATACCATCTCCAAATGAAGTTTGAAGACCATGGATGTGCTTCTTTCCTCCAACCATTCCTAATGAAATGAAACAAACAACAACAACAACAAAAACACACTCCCTCCTAACCCAAAATACAGGAACCTTAAAGGAAACCAGACACCCATTTCCTTGGGGTCTCACAAAAGAGAAATCATTGTACTCTGCAGTTTTGTCTTGTAATTTACATGTCCTGCTTCCTGCCCTAACATCTTTCAGTTTGTACAAGAGAATGCAACAAATTGGCTTAGGGTGTTTTTTGTCTTTGTTTTTTGCTCTATTGTGCAGTGGATTTTGGAGATAGGATCTTATCTGTGCAGTGGAATGCCTTTCTTTACAGGCATTAAGTTGTCATATCTGCTTTATTTTGCTAAAAGCATGTAGGTATCTATATTCCTACATTTTTTATAAACTAGTGATATTTATAGAATATGATTTTAAAGTTTTTTATATAGTATTGATTAAATATATATATTTTTAATTTTGGAAGTAAAAATCTCTGTTTTTATAAAAAATATTTAATCTACACTGTTCTTGCATTTCTTTTTGTAAATGGAAAAAAAAAATGAAAGCACTGATGCTTGCTATATGTAGACTTGTGAAAAACTATTTTCTCTTTGCAAGAATTTACATATTTAAAATGTTATTTTTGCAAGAATTTGCAAATTCCATTTAGATCAAAAGTTTGTCATTTCTAATAGCAAACATGGTCTTTCTCATGAACATGGGGAAAGTATGACATTTTTATTCTAGGTGGAAATTTGCCATTTTCACAGAGAAGTTTCCTCATATCTGTTGTGACACATCTTATTCATCCTGCAAAACTGATATGAATCCATAAAAACAGAGACTAATAATATGTTTCAAAATCAATGAATTCCTACTTCCTTCTTAGTTTTTAAAATATTACGTAACAGACTTCATCAGAACATCCTGTAACAGTAACAATATCTTAATTCATCATCTTTGAAGTAAAGAGAAAAATATTGAACTAAGACAATAGAATTAAGATTGTTTTCATTGTTCTATATAGGCACTTTATAATAAATGTGTATTTACTGTGCAACCCTTTATTCTATTAATGAGCTTTTATTGGTCAAAAACTTTTTTCCACTGTTACCCTTTCTAAATTAAATTTAAAAGATAAATTGATTGTATAATATAACTTGAGTAGAATAAATAGATTGTGTGACTAATATTTAAGTGGAAACGTATAAGGAAATATTTTTCTTAGGACCTTCAGAGTCTTACTCAGAATCTTATTTTGATTCTTCAAATGTCGCTCACCACAAAAAATACAAGTAACATGAAGAGGTAAATCATACATAAATATATAGTATTAGTAAGCTGCTTTTACTTGGTTTTCTAAATGTGAAGTTAAGTGGACAGACCATGTGATTAACATTAGCTTAACTGACTTTTGTGTTTCCAATATTTATTGTTTTTTCATGAAGAGGAAACTCCAAGTACCATTACTATGGGATTCGTGTCAAGCCAGATTCCCCTCTTAATCGTCTGCAAGAAGACATGCAGTATATGGCTATGAGACAACAACCCATGCAGCAGAAACAAAGGTAGACCCTGGACTTATCACTGATGACGTCAAAGCTATGTACTTCTCAGCTGTTTGGATCTCTTTTGTTCTCAAGAAAAACCTAAGTAGAAAAGAACGTTATTACTGTCGGCATGCTTTCACTATGGATAGCTCTTAAATATGATTTAGAATTTCAGTGATCCTGTATGTTTTCCAAATTTGAAAGAATTACCAGTCAGCCTGTTTGGTTCCTTTTAAGTTAAGTATGATATCCCAAACTGTTCAGACAAGGAAACAAAACACAAAACCTAAGGAGGAGACCCAAGTAAATACCAACTGGAGAAATTGGTTTCCGTATTCATGAGTTTCTGACACATGAATTCTGCACATCCCTTATGTCATCTCTTTTGACACAGTATGAATTTTGTAGAATGTTTGAGACTTCTTACATGTTCTTTGAATCTGATTTTCATAGACATAGAATTGTGAATGTTAGAGCTGTAAGAGACCTCAAGCATTCGTGGAGGGATGGAGGATGGATGGATGGATGGATGGATGATGGATGGATGATTGGATGAATAGAACCATAGATGTAAGAATTGAAAAATGCCTCAGTCTTGTCTGAACTCACAACCTTATAACAATCAAAATATTAAAACCCTGTTTTTGAGATGAATCCCAGAGGGGTTAAGTGATTTGTACCAGTCCAAAATACTATTGTATAGCTAAGGGCCTTCTAGTTCCATGTGCTTTATGTCACAAGTCAGAGTAAATCAAATGAAAAATCTTTCTCTCTTTGCCAGCATAGCTGAGCCATGGCAGTAGTTAAGATTTTTCTTTTCAGTTGAGCATGTAGAATTAAGTAAGAAAGGAAGCTTCCACATAGGTCCTAATCCATTGATCTGGAATGATTAGTTGCATTGGCCAGAACTCTACATCCATACATGTTTAGTCAGAAACATTAGCCCTAATTCAAGAATATATCACACAGTAGTCTTTTATCTATTTAGTCTCTAAAGACTTATTGAGTCTCTACTGTGTGTTTGGTCCTGTAGGCAGAAATAAGACACAGATTTTACCTTTGAAGTTAGAAGGGGAAGCAGATTGAGAATTGAAAATTAAAAAGGAATGCAATCTGAGAAATACTGAAATAAAGCTTTCATCAAGAAACTCTGTATTCCTTTAATACAGAGGAATTTTCAGCAAACTCTGGGAAAGAGAGGATTAGGAAGCTTCACAGAGAAAGTTCTACTTGAGCAGGAACTTAGAGGAGTCACAAAAATAAAGGAATATTCAAGCAGAGGGAAAATGCACTTAGCGTAAAGTCCATGATATCTTTGGTAAACAGTCCATGACTTGATGAGGTTGGTATTACGGAAGGAGAATTGAAGAGAGATTATTGAGTAGTTTAGTGGGAGACAAGATTTAAAAGGAGTTTGGATCATATTTTAAGGTATCTGGTTGTATATGAGCTAATAAGTTTATTGTTTGTGCAGAACATAGCTTTGAAGCTATGTAAGGCTTTGAAGAAAACAATGAAACTTTGATTTTTTCTAGAGAGATGACTTTTTGATTTTGGGCAAGACATATTTAATGGAAAGAGACTGGAGGTAAGGATCTTGTTAAGTGGCTTCAACACAGTCATAATTTCTAGTGTAAGTGTTCCAGACTGAAGAGTGGCTGCTCTGTCAGGTATCTAAAGGACTTTTAGATTTTTTTTATTCACAGAATTGAAATCTCATTTTTTAATTGGTGATCCTTATATTTTGATATGTAGCCAGTGAAACATACTAAGAAGAGCTCTGGAAAAAATCATAAAGTAAATTGTGAAATAGTAACTTATATGGCTGGAGACGGAGTTTATGTGAGTTGTAATAAATTATTATTGTTTTGAGTTTTGATTGTTTTTTCCATCTGTTAGTGGGAACTCCAGATCCATAAAAGGATCTCCAGAGCCATAAAAGGTAGCAAGCTATCTTAGTATAGTGGTAATTGCTTTTAGAAATAGATAAATTATGGATGTGTTTAAGAAGTGAATAAAACTCTGAGTAATATTAATACATTCTGCTGACTTCACTTTCTTTTTGAATTTGATTCTTATTTCTTATTAAACAAGAATGTTAGAGAACCTAAGTACTGAACCTTCTTTTAATTTGTTGCACTCTTTTAATGATAACAGTTTTGGATTATGGACAGTTGCTCCTAAAATGATGTCTTGCTAACTGATTGCAGTGTTAGCATTACCAACTGCACAGGCCTGACACTGGGATGAGCAGGGCAGCCAGAGCCTTTTCTTTGTTGTCTCTCTGAAGGAATCTATTTATAGATAACATTGATAGCCCTTAACTGAAGTCAGTTATTCCATTGTGCAGAAATATTCAGACAAGAGAAAAAAAGTTTCTCTCTATGGGTGTGTATACAAGGACTAAGTTAAGAGTATTTATTAAAAATTATGTGAAAATAACATTTTAAAAATTTGTCTTATGACATAAATTTTTAAAATAATAATTCTAAAACTTAAATGATTATACTCAGTATACATATTAAAGTTTATATAAGAAGAGACTGTCACTCTTTTGTTAAATACAATTGACATGTAAAAGGTTCAAAATATTTTTTAGCAAGAAGTAATATTTAATATTTCAGAGTATTCAAATTATTTAAATATGTCAAGGTTTAATATATATATCTATGTATTCAGATCTTCCATAGTGTCAATTTAGGTTTTCCATGTTCTTACTATAAAAAAATTTAAGTATATGTAGTGATTCTTATTTTATTAATTAAATTTAAGATTTGGAGCCCAAATTGGTAACTCCCACCTGTAATCCTAGCACTCTGGGAGGCTGAGGCAGGAGAATTGCTTGAGCTTAGAAGTTTATTATAGCCTGAGCAAGAGTGAGAATGTTTCTCTCCTAAAAATAAGAGAAAAACTAGGTAGACATTGTGATGGATGCCCTTAGTCCCAGCTACTCGGGAAGCTAAGACAAGAGGATCTCTTGAACCCAGGAGTTTGAGGTTGCTGTGAACTAAGCTGACACTATGACATTCTAGCCTGGGCAACAGAGTGAAACTCTGTCTCAAAAATAATTAAATAAATAAATAACATAAATAAATTCACAAACTGAAGTTTTAGACTTTAATTTGTACATTTTTAATTTGGAATTAAGAGTAGCTTTAGGGCTATTAATTATTGTTTTATTAATATCTAGCTTTACAATTTCTTGAGTTCCTTTGTATAAAGTGTCTCACTTAAAGATTTGATAGGCTGTAGAGGAAATTTCCACTTATCTACAAGTCAGATATTTAGCAGCATTATTCTGTAGAATATAGTCATGAGTCTGAAAATAAATAGAAATAGCTTCTGATTGGAAAGCAGATGTCATAGAGCACATAGTTTCACTTAACTGACAAGATGAAGCCATTTGCCTAAAATATAGGAACAGATTAGAACCCATTGATTCTTAGGCAATCATAGGATATGACAGCTGGCAAGAGTAAATAAAAGTAGACAGAGTCTTCTGTTTACTTTTTATGTATTCACTACAGCAATCTCTGGACATTCTATGGAGAATACTCTAGTAGATCCTTTGAGTATTGTGTTAGAGACTAGACTCTAGTCTAAAAACAATGTAATAACTGCTTTGCATATGGGTAACACTATGGATAATCAAGAGCTAAAAGGCCCTGGTTAAGTAGGCAAAAGATTGTGCAATGGATTTTTATGTATCTTTTGTTGGAAGTATTTTTTTTTTAATTGAGACTTTTTTTATTTGTCACCCTTTGTAGAGTGCATCATAGCTCACAGCAACCTCAAACTCTTGGGCTCAGGTGATTCTCTTGCCTCAGCCTCCCAGGTGGCTGGGACTACAGGCACCTGCCACATCGCCTGGCTAGTTTGTTTGTTTGTTTGTTTGTTTGTTTGTTTGTTTTTTGTTTAGCAGGTCAGGCCAGGTTCAAACCCACCAGCCCTGGGGCATGTGGCCAATGCCCTAACCACTTAGCTACAAGCACCCAGCCTGAAAGTATTATATATGAAAATAATTTTCACATTTAAATGAGGTAGTCTTTTTGTTTTCAAGGAAATTCACTCATGGATTAAATTTGTCCTAACTTAGACAATAAATAAATTAGGTTATCATAGAGCAAAAAGGAGATCAGTAATTTTCAGTTCTTCAAACTAAGTAAAAATGTTTGCTGCAGTTTATTTTTAATGCTTTTTAAAAGAAATATGTAGAGAATGTTGGCACATATATTTCAGTTATTCTTCCAAATTCTAGTAGCAAAAAATGGTAGAATAGAGCCAAGTGCTTTTGATAGTATGCTTAGCTTTGATAATATGTTTGATCGTAAGCCATTCTCAAAATATTAAATTTTGTTTGTCATTTCTTCAACAAATACATAACAACTATCATTTGCATACAGAATATGTACATTACATCTAAAAAGATATCACAGAATCATAGACTGTTAAAGCCAAAAGAGAGAGATCACCTAGTCCAACGCATCTGTCCTCTTGATGAGAAAACTGAAATCCATAAACAGTAGGTAACTTACCCATAATCATGTAGCAACCAGAACAAGAACTCAGTTCTCTTGTTTTTGTTCTTGTAAAAATTTCATCCTCCAGGAGGTAAGGTAACCCAAACAAAAACATACATAATGTAATAAAATTTTTATCTATAAAATAAGGAGAGAAATCACATTTAAATGAATATATTTCCATTGAGTGAGCAAATATGTCACTTCTTGCCTCTTTGCATGGTCCCTTCATAAGAATTGGATTCTGGGGAACAAACCTTTGTGTGGCTAAGAGGAGAGAAAGATAAGTCAATTGGGAAGATGGCATAGCAAGGACACTTTTGCTTTGGCTATAGACAGAGGTGAAAGCATGCATGTTCCTATTGAGTGAGGGAGGAAATCTAAGACCTTTTGTCATTAGATGACCTCTCTTAATATAGGTTTCGAAGACCAGTTAAAAGAATCATATATTTAAGATTGCAAAATGGGAATTTATTATAGGCTCCTTTAACACTTTTA